GAGAAGCTTGTGGAGCTGCAGGAGCAGGAGAAGCAGATTCTGCAGGGCAACGTGAATGTTGCACCGAATGCGTTTGTATCCATGTCACTAACGCATGTATTAAGTACATTTGCAGTGAGTGAGGTTCAGGAGCGAAATATGATTAAAAATGTGGAAGATATGGAAAGGCGGATGTTGTGTTCCTCTTTTAAGCAGGAGGAAGTTGAGATAAGTGCTCTTACTATGCAGCGTCTATCAGCGGAGCGAGCGGCCCAGGCAAGTTGGGAATATCAAGCATATTTTTCTTCGGATTGTATAGAACTTATGGCAAGTGAAACTCGTCGCCGTTCTTTTATTGAGGAAATGGAGGGTGAGGTACGAGCAGGTCTTTCTAATGACTTTCGTATTGCCTTACAGGCGATGTATGAGGCAGAATTGCTTCGGTTATCAGAGCAAAGTCTTGTGGAACGTAAACGTGCACTTATCGTGGTGGTATCAGAAGAGTCCACTACACGGATGCAGCTGGAGCAAGATGCTTTAAACGAATTAGCACGACTTCGTGTTTTGTGTGTATCAAAATTGGTGGAGTATCAGCGTGTGTTGGAAGAGAATGAGATGCGCCGAGGAGCTACACGTGTTGCAGCTGAACGACGGCTTTATATGCAACAGCTTTCTAACCTCTCGGAAGCAGAAGATGCTGGAAGGTGCCGATTGTTGGAAACTGAGCAGTATGAACGCCGAATGATGTGGACACACTTTGTCTCTACCATGCCGTTCGCAGTGACTTCAACAGCCCTTCCTAGTAATGTTGTACCACCGCCTTCATTCAGTTCCCCACGTTCTTCTTGTGCTCCGGAAACAACACGATCTTTTACAGTCTCCTTAGCCCTTGCTACTCAAAAAATAGCCGCCTTATTAGAGGAAGAAGAGTTGGAACGACTAGAACTGTGTCAAGTAGAGCGGCGAGATTGGTATAATCGTAAGAATTTATTTCATGCTGACTCTAGGCGTCTCAAATCAATGGAAACTACTGTAGAAAGTGAACAATTTGATAATTCTATCCTAAAACGAACTTTAGGGAATAATCTGAGACGTTTAGAATTGCAAGAAGAAGAAGGACGAATTGAAATTCAACAGAGTGCATGGTCATGGTTCCGTCGTCTTACAGAAAAAGCAGGAGAGCAACAGCGGCAAATAGAGACTATGGAACGTCTTTTACGCTCCATATCAGAGAGATCTCAGCGTGTTTTAAATCGTTGTCTTAGTGAAGTACAACTTGCTCTTGTAGATGAAGAAATCCATGATCGTAGTAATATAGAGACACATGAACGTCGAACACGTATGCAACTTTCTCGTGATGCGGCAAAAAGTGAAGAATTGCTTCGCACGAAATTACAACTACAACTCTCTCATGATTCCTCTGGAACTCTCTTTTTAGATGCAATGGATGCTGCAGTGCGAGAATTTACTACTGAAGCGATGCGTATAGCACAGGAAGAAAATGTAGAACGTCTTGCTCTTATGCAATCGCAACGTATTGAATCCTTGACACTTACTCAATCCTACGGAGAAACTCGTCTTCAACAAAGTCATACTGATGCAAAACAACAACTTGAGTACCTTCATTCAACTTTAGAAACTACTACAGCAGTAAGTACTTGGCGTGCTCGTTGTGCCTTCCTTATAACGGAAGAATTACGTTCCCGTGATGCCATTTGTAATGATGAGGCCAGCAGACGCGCATGGTGTAGCGCAGACGAGCGACGTGAGAGGTTTGATGTAGTTACACGTGACACGGAAAGGCTACAAATTGCACGGGAAGTAGCACGATTGAACTTGAAACTGCAGGAATCTGTACGAGACGAGTCAGAAAGACGTACAGTGATCTATGAAGAAGAAATACGTACTCGAGAAGCCATTGAGCATGAAGCGATGCGGCACGCAAACCTGTTGCAAGTGCGTAGAGAGCGACGGCGGGTGGAAGCAAACCGTAGTGAGCGGACCACCAACCGTGCGCTGGACGATCTTTGGCAAGAAGAAGAGGATGATCGGTTTTACATCCGTGAGGATGAACGTGATGCCCGACGGCTCCTACGGCGGCAAGCCGTTGAAGAGTCTGGTAGTATTGCCCTCGCTAGTAGAGACACCAGTAGACTTGCTGTTGATGAGCCTTCTGGTCGTACTCCTGCAATCCAAAGCCCCTGGCAAGATCCTTCAAATTCGCAGCAGTTTGATGAAGCATTTATTCGTCGCCGGGAGGCAGCGCGTGAAGAGGAACTTCGGGAAGCACAGCAGCGGTTGCAAGAGGCGGAGGCCCGCATAGCCGCGGAGGCTGCACGCCGTACTCTGGCGGAGGAGGCACGTCTAGCGGCCCTCGCGGAGTCGGCGGCGCTCCTGCAGGAGGCGGAGGAGAGAGCCGATGCCCGAATTCGCCGGGCACGGGAGGAGGCGGAGCGAGCGGCCCTCGCCGAGAAGGAGCGGATGGCAGGCGAAAAGGAGCGGGCGGCACTCGCAGAGGCGGAGCAGCGGGCACGGCTGGAGGCGCGGTTGTGGGCAGCAGAGCGAGCGCTCGCAGAGGCGGAGCAGCGGGCGGCAGTGGGAGCGGAGGAGCGGGTGCGCACTCTGCAGCAGCAGGCGCTAGACGCAATAGCTGCTACGCGGGAGGAGGCACGTAAGACAGCAGAGGAGGCAAGAAGGCGTTTGGAGGAAATGGAGGAACGCTACGCCGTACGGGAGGCGGCTGTTCACGCAGCAAAGGCAAATGTAAGAGTCGCTAGGCGACGCATGAAGGCGTATGAGGATTCTCAGCGGACATCACCAAGTTCGACACATTCCTCAGCTGTTATGTGTACATCAGGAGAACCGATAGAATTACATAAACAATTGAAAGGTGGGGTTTCTTCTCAATCGGTTAATCAATCCCCTGGTTTTACTGCTGCAATTTGTAGTAATGTAATTCGTGCTGCCATTCGTGAAGCTGTGGATGAAATTGTAAAAGCAACGAAGGAAGCTTGGCAGATATCAGAGGAAGCAGAACAACGTCTTCGGATAGAACGAATGCGATTACGTAGACGGCAGGCAGAACGAGATCAAGCTGAACAGGATTTGATTGATGCTGAAAATGAAGGTATTCTGTGGGGTACTAACTCTAATATTGATACTTCTGTTGCTGTTGTTGCTGATGAAAATGATGATGATGATGATGAAGAAACCAATGCTGCTGCTGCTGCTACTACTACTGAAGATGACTATAATGTGTATGAGGAAGAAGTGAGTAAAGATGATACACGAGGTACTTTTGGGGTAGAAGAAACTGCTAATACTGCACAATATCATACTCTCACACGTCATCGTAGAAGAAAAGAAAAACGAGAAGAAGAATTACCTCCTCCTCTTCCTGAAAATCTTACTTGTCATCGATGCTATCGGGGAGAAACAAGTGCTTGTACAAGTTGTTCATCACAGGTGTGTCTTTATTGTGGACCTTCTATTCTTCATCGTGCATGCTGTGATTTGCATCATCTCAATATTGTTAACGCCCGACGTCGGCAGCTTGTGAAGGAGCAAAAACAAAAACAACAACAGCAACAACAAGAAGAGGAAGAAGAAGAAGAAGTTTGGAATGTGAAGTCGTTAGAGAGGTCTCCTCCGGGCGTTCAGAGACAACTGCTTTCAGATAAAAGTAACAATGGTGAGGAGGAAGAGATAGTAGAAGAAGAAGAGGAAAGGAAAAGGAAAGAGAAAAAGAAGAAAGAAGAAGTACACGAAATACGACAGCAAAAGAAACGAAAAGAAAGACGGGAACAGAGGCAGTGGAATGAAGCGCAGAAAAAGGATGATGATTATGATAATAATAATGATAATAATAACAATAATAATAATAAGTCTGTATCGGTTGCTAGCGTTGAGGAGCCCAGGACAGAGCGAAAACGGTATGAAGCCTTCTTTGTTCCACTTGGTAATCACGCAGAGCCGAGACGTCCAAAACCGCCAACACCAAATAATTACGTTCCCGGTATACATTTCTCCTCTTCTAACATGCCAAAGACAGAGCGAAAGGTGAGTCCTCCTTTGCGTCGTGCTCGCAACATCCATAAGCATGGTGTTTGTGCTACTTATATATCTACTACGGCTACTACAAAGTCTTTTCATGAGTCAAGACCTCGACGATCTACAACCGCACCTAAAGAGCGATCAGATCCTTTCATAAACCGACAGCAGAAATCGCATCAACATCCAAAGCAAGATTATCAGGAACAACGACAACAACAACAACAACGTCAACGTGCCCCTTATATGACCTCATCAACGATGCCTGTGAAAGAACCCGCATGGGGATACTTTGACTCAAAGCCGCGTAAACGTACAACCGAAAGGCGAACAGTACAAGACCCATTTCGTACGACTGTTCGGGCATCATCACCTGCAATGTGTAAGCGACATGCTCCACAAGAAACTGTTGATTATGTTTCACCCCGTGAACCATCTATTGAACTTGATGATGATTTTGACGATTATGCCCTTCGTGATCCTACTGGCCTTGGTCGTACTTATTATAATGGAAAACCTGTACGTTTGGATGGTTTAAATTATGCATATGATGAATATGTGGAAAATACTAGTAGATCTTTTTTACATCAGCAACAATATAGAACAACTACTGTAAAATCAAAAAAAGATGTAGAACATGTGAATATCAGTCGTGAACAACGTGTACCTATGGCAATGTTTCCTACTGATTCAACCGCCATACCTACACACGAAATTCATGATATGATGAGGGAGCGCAATACACCAACATTACAAGAGTTAGATGAACGTCTCCGTCATTTACAGCAACACCGTGTATTTGATCGCATAGAACGACGATCTCCTGATCTTCACTGTATGCGACATCACTATCACTGTAATTTTGATGTTACTACTGGTAAGTATGATGATTATGACTATGAAAATAAGGAAAGTAATAGATATCGATCTGCTGGAGCAAAAAGTAGTAGAGTACGATATCCTACACCGAGTGGTCATGAACCCTGTGTTACTGTTCATTTACATCCTCGCAGTGGATTCATTCCCCCACCGCTAACACCAGCCGGAGCCGCTACAGTTAGAGGGGCGTCTAGGTCTAAATCGCGTGGTCCAAGCCGTAGAACCGCCAGACGCTCAACCCCGCGTGTTGTCTCACCGCCGTGGCGAACAGATTACAACTCATCACCGCTGCGGCCTCCGTGGAATGTGGAACAGCCGCACTCCTTCATTGCGAAGCCCTACAAGCGAACTCTACTCCCCACTGATATTTAGAAGAGTATCCATGATTGCTTTTTATTTGCCCTAGAGATGATGTGTGTACACACGCTGTCGTTGGCTTTGCATCTGCATGTATTTTTTGTATCTGTATGCGGAATGGTATGCAGATGCATCAGGAGAAAGAAGTTAAAAAAAAAAAAAAGAATAAAATAATAATAAGGTTACTGTATTTTTGTTCTTGTTCTTGTTGTTGTTGTTTCTATGAATATAAATAGAGCATAACGTTTTCCTTATGCAACCTCCTTTTTTTTTGCTTTTATCACTCTGCTTCACCGTTAATCCACTCACTATTTGTACGTACGTTATACATATACTTATATAAACACGTATGTACACACTTACATCGATAAATGTAGAGGAAAAAAAAAAGCCAAATATACGTATGCATTATGGTAAATGAGAAAATTATGTTGTGCACCCTTATGGCCTGCGGAAAAGAATAGAAATGATGGGGAAAAATCATCATATTAAAGTAGAAGAATAGTGTGGGATTACTGTATTGCGAGCGTCAAGCATTAATAGAAAAGGAATTGAGAAAAAAAAAAGTAATACGCTCTGCAGAGTCTCTCTTTTTGTTTTTTTTTTGTTTTTTGTTTTAACCTTATTAGTTCTGTTTTCTTTTTTTTTCCTCTGTTCCTTCATTACAACTGGTTCTTTGGGTAATAGACGAAGTAAAATAGTATGAGAGTATCAAACTTTATGGGATCTTTCTTTTCATATGTTGATTCCATTTCTTTTTTCTCACTGCTTCGCCTTATCCATTTCTTTTTTTTTTGTTCGCAATCATGAAGAGCAATATGAAACAAAAGAAAACAAAAGACACTCAGAGAATAAATAGACGACGTAATTTACTTTTTTTTTACTGAGAATTTCTTTTTTTTCATATTCCCACCATCACTTTATAGAAATTTCTTTTTTTTTACTGTGTGTGTGTTTTTTTGCTTTTTCCTACTTTCGTGTGCTGCTTTTGTCGTTCCTTTCCCTTCGTTTTGAGGAATAAGGAGAGAAGGAGTGGAAGTGGCCTTAACTGTTTATCTCTATTCCCTTCCTTTTCACTGTCTGATATTTTCTGTATTTTACGTTCACACACACACAAAGAAAAACAAAACCAACTGCAATAACAAACACGAACCAATAAACAAACAAACCAACAAAAAAAAAAAACAAAAAAAAAAGTAAATAACATCGAAGGAAACATGGCTGTTGTTCAGACTCACTGCTTTAACTGGATGGGGTATGAGGGCACCGAGTCCGAAACCCTTAATCTTGCCCTCCTCCGTCACGGTAATTCCGGCAATCTTCGCTACGCCGACTACTGCCAGCGCCAGGAGGTCCTTGCGGACATCCGCCTGCGGCTGAAGCTCATCAAGCGCGATCTCGGCCTGCTCCCACCGGAGGCGGAGGAGACGCCCGTCGACGACGCCATCGCCGAGCTCAGCGAGGACGAGTCGCTCTCCCTCGAGGCCCCAATCAGCGCGCGGCCGAAGGAGGAGGAGAAGAAGGTCGTGGAGGACAAGGAGCCCAGCACACTTCTCGCGGTCCGCCAGCGCGCCCTGCAGAGCACCGGCACCGGCCGCGGCAGCGACAGCGATGAGGATGAGGAGATCGTCTACGTCTACCCCGCCCCGCCCTCCGCCGACGACACGGCCACCGCCGCGAAGGCTGCTGGCGCCGCGCTACGCTCCGTGCTGTTTGAGGCGGGCGCCACGTACGTCTCGTACATTGACGGCGCCGAGTTCACATCAACGACAGCACTCGCCGAACACAATGAGGCCAAACGCGCTGAGCTGACGGACGTTGAACTCCCGGAGCCGGGCGCCTTCGATCTCGCCCCGCTGGAAGCAGCGCTGGAGGAACGCACTCAACTGCGTCTGAAGCTCGATGCCGTGCGGGCCGCACGAGACCCAGAGTACGCAGCAGCCGTCATCCCAGCCTCAGAGCGCGATAACAGCGGAAATCCCATCACAAACGTGGACGTGAGTGAGGCAGATGAGGCACAACTCTCACAGAAACTCACAAAGGCAGTTCGGTACCTCGCAGCACTGCGGGAGTTGTATAACAACCGTGCATCCAAGTCCGCCAACGCTGTGCAGCTCGAACTTGCCAACAAGGTCCAAGCACAAGAGCTTTAGGAAAAAAGAAGGGAAGTATATATATATACGTATATGTAAGGAGAAAAAAAAAGAAAAAAAAGGTAGAAAGGGAAAGGGAGAAATGATGATGATGATGAAGACGAAGAGAGCGTAAAATTTCGTAATGAGAAAGCGAAATAGAGCTGTAAAACAGAAAGAAAAAAGAAAACAAACATATCAAAACTGAGAAATCACAGAGAAAAAAAAAGAAAGAAAGGTCTGTATAGAACGAGGAAGAGATAAGCAAGAAAAAAAATTTTTCTCTGTCCTCTAGTTAATGATTTGGCAAGTGAACGGTTACCATTGGACAAATGAAGAAATATAAGAAAAATGAGAATAATTGGGGATAACAGAAAACAAAAAAAAAAGAGATGTACGGTAATCCATGGAAATAAAGAAAAAAATAAAGAAGTACGTAAATATCTCTTCTTCTTTTTTTCACTTTTTCTTTATTTCCCTTTATACATTCTTCATCTTATTTCCGCTCCATCACCAAAACGTGAGACCTACGTGGGAAAAAAAAAGCATATACGGTGCGATTAACTTATATTTTTCTCATATCTGTGTACAAACGTACAATTTCTCTCTTTTTACTCGCATGCTCTTCTTCTTTCTCAACTGTATCTATGTTTTTTTTTTGTTGATTAATGCACATGAGCTTCAACGTGTTTTTTTTTGTGTTATTTTTGAATGTACCTGTGACAAAACAAAAAAGAAGAGTTAGAGGGAGGATGAATTCTGTTACGATGACTTTTTTCCATTTTTCTTCTTCATCTCGGCTTGTTGGAGAAACGTTGATGTGTTTTTCTAATTTTGTTTTGTTTTTTGTTTTTCTCAGTCTTATCATTTTGTGTACAAAATTATCTTTTTCCTTTTTTTTCTTGATAACTTCCCTATTTATATTCTTTCTCCTCACTCTCTATTTACCTCTCCTCCGTGTACCCCCAACAACAACAACAACCCACATATAGATTTAAAATAGAATTCGATGATTCTTGGACTCACAGGTGTTCAACAGAAACAACATCAACCACTGAAACAAGAAAATCAACAACAACAACAACAGCGGCGATCACCGTTGCGTGGACGACGTTGTTTATATTGTCAACGACTTGGATGTCCCGGTATTCAAAGCTGCTGGTGGCCGCGTGCTCGATCAGCTCGCAGCACATCGTCTTTGCATAATAGTAAAATAGACCCCGAGCCTACTCTATGGAGTAATAAGAATATCCATACTGGTAGTGGTAATGCGGTGGAGGATAACCTGCGAACGCAAATAAGTGTTCTAGAGAGAGAAGTACAGTTGCTGCGTAATGGACTTGAAAATCTTGTGCCTTCTAACAGAGAACCACAACCACCGGCTGAACACATACCGTATTGGAATAAGAATGAGAAGAAGATTGGAGCCGTTTCTCTTCCCAGTCGTGTTGTTATTCCTCCTTATACACAAGGAGGAATAACACAACCATCATCCTATCAACAAGAACAAAAAAACACAACACATGTGATGATGCCAAACGTAAACGAGAAGACTCCCGTATCGTCTGTTCATCCAGAGAAAACAGAACCGCATCGAGTGGAAGAATTAGAAAAACTTGTGCTAGAATTGGTCGCCCAAAACACTACACTTTGCAGGAAACTTGCTGAAGTAAATAGTGTTCTTGAGCAACGTGATGGACTTCTTCGATCACTCTTCACGGAGCGAACTACAGTAGTTCCTCCCTCCACTGTTCCCGCCGCCGTTCAGACCTCTTCATCCTTTAAATATCCGCATGAACAGGAAGTAACAGTGATGACCCAATTACTGCATAAACAGGAAGAAGTAGCACAACTTCAGGAAGAAATACGAGATGTAAAGGCCAAGTTAGAAAATAATAAAGAAGACTTACAACGTCGTGTACAGGAAGTGGAATTCCTTCGATCGCAACTTGGGCAACTAGGATCTTTACAAACATCTCATAAAGATGGTGTTCCTATTTCTCCTACCCCTGTCCCTACATTTAATAGAGATCCCATACAAGTTCCTTCTCAACCAGTATCAGAATCCACCATGGTGAAGAGTCATGAAGAAATAACAAATAAAGTAGTTTCTGTTATTCCTCCTGTAGATCAGAAAACAACGGGAGTGGATACAAATGCCATGAGTACAGAAATACGTGAATTACGTGAGAAATTGGCAAATGCAGAACGCAAAATCCTCGCCTGGGAGACGTGGTATAAGCAGGAAAAACATCAACAACAACAACAACAACAACAAAAGCCATCATCATTGCAAACATCAGTTGGATTGGTACAGGAAAAATATCATGTACTACCTATTACTAATACTACTACTAAAGAAGAAGAAGAACCTCGTGTCAGTTTATTTATATCCCCTAAACCTGAGAAATCCAAATATCAAGAACATCAGCAAGTTCTTCTTCGAGCATTACCAGTTTCCCAACCTATTCATTGTTTAAATCAATCATCTTGTGATCATCTCTCACGACCCAGTGGAAGTAGTGCAGAAATACTGGCTCTTGATACGTATGCTCTTATTTCCCGTGAGGCCGCTTTACGTGAGGCGGCTAAACAAGAGCGGTCTGATCTCATGGCATCGCTGTTGAAGGGAGATGCGAATGAATGTGAAGAAGAAGAAAACAACATAGAATAGTCAGAGTTGAAATGGCAACTCCCCGAATCAGAGTGGAGGTTGTGTATATCATAGAGAGAAGGATGAAAAGATAAAGAAAGAAAATATGGAAGTAAGTGTGGTGGGACTTGTAATTCTTGGATTCCTTCATGACAATGTAATCAATTTTCTTTCTTTCTTTCTTTCCTTCTTTTTCATTGGATTGTTATACTGTGATAATGATTATGTTTTTTTTTTTTAATTCTTGTATACTCTTGATGTATATATATGTATATGTGAAACTTTACTCTTTTTATTGTTATTATTTATTTTGATAGTCAGAACTTCAATTCATAGACACCCCCACCCATACACACACACACACACACACACCAACCTGTAATTAAATGTCAACAAATTTCAAACACTCTCATAGAAATACAATAGATGCGTATAAGCAATCTACTCTGAATCCTCCTTCTAGCACTATTCCTTCAGCTCCAGATATGAGAGAAGATGACATTTCCTCTTGTACAACATTTGGCACCATATCTCAACAACAAGAGGACACAACCACAACAACAACAAGAAGAGGAAAAAAAACTACAACTGTACGTGGAGCGGCAATCGATACGATAACGATGGGGCATGCGGTTCGTGTTCCTCACGCCCTGCAGTCAGCCACGCGACGTACAATGTTAGACATTCTCACTCAATTAAATCGTGAGAAGAGTGTAAATGAAACGGATGAATGTGTGGGAAATTCATTAGCACATGGAAGAAAACTCTTATATGATGGCGTCAATACAAATAAAAATCCTTCTATACTTGTTAACGCAACTACTATAGCTGCTTCTACTTCTACTTCTCATGTTTTACCAGATCTCTCGAGAAGTCTTCGACATTTACTACCGTCTCGACGAGGAAATGCCGCTAACACACGACAACAATGTAGACAACGACAAGAAGAACTATTGCACGCCGAAGAGGATAGTATTTCTGAGTTTGAAGATGATGATAATAATAATAATAATAATAATGTTCACATGAAGAAGGAGAAGAAAAGAGGTAGTGATGAGACAAGAGGAGTCCAAGAGCCGTATTTGATAAATGAAGAATGTCTCGCAAATGATCATACGGAACCGTATTCTTTTCCACGGACTGTATTGGACCGCGAAGAGGGACAACGTCGTGGGCGTCACCGCAGTTGGGCCAAACTCTTCAATTGTGATGATCTCCACAATGATGATCCCTCAATACAAGACTCTCTTCATACTGTACAACAACAACAACAGCAACAAGAAATGCCAAAGTTTACACCTGTTACCCGCGTTTCTACGAAATCTTCACACCGAAGCTCCAGTTCTCTGCACGCGGTGTGGGCGGATGTGGAGGATGAGCGGCGGAGTTCAACGGCGGGCCGAACATCACTCGCCACGTTGTTAGATGCCGCGGAGGCTGAAGATGATGAGCGTCGACGGAGTTTTTCACATCTCTTGGCTGCGGAGAAAACGGAAAAGAAGGGCATGGAGTATGAAGAGGAAGGAGAAAATAATAATCATTCCATGCTTCTCCTATCATCTCATACCTTTGGTAAACCATCATTTGGAGCTATGGGATTGTCATTAAACAATGGAAGTAGTTCCTCCGCCTCTGCGGTAGCGGCACTCTTGCAGGGATCATCATCAACAACAATAACATCAACAAGTGCTGTAGTGAAGCGTGGTGGTGGTGTTTGTAGAGGAAGAATGAGTGCGGCATTAAAGCAACTCTCTGGAAATCCAACATCCGCTCGTGTTGTGACTTATCTTGCACGTAGCTTTGATGATTGGAGGTTGGATGCTCCAGCTATATCTCAATTTAATAAAGAAATGGAAGAAGGAAGAGCGAATAGTACTCTTGATGAATCTTCCAAGTATACTTTACTTTCAGGAACGAGTGGTGTGCAGTTAAAGCTTCGTGTAGTGATGGTAGAAAATACCTACTCTATATATTGTCTCCGTGTTGAGATTGTATGGGCAGATGAACAGACATCTATGGAACTCGGCTATGATTATAATAATAATAATAATAACACCACTATCTTATCAACCACAACTGCAATGGAAGAACACGATGATGATGAAGGGGAATCTCTTCCACCGTGTAGTGTAGAAAGAAATAAATTATGGACCGTTGCTCTCACAACTCCTTCCTTTCAGTCTACACCTATTGTGGTGGGTGAACACTTGTATTTAGCCCGTCCCTTCTTTTGTTATCCTTCCATTCAAACTATTGTTGCCTCACTTAATATCACATCCGATTCAGCTCTGCGTCAACCACAACCCACGCGACAGGGACGCCGTCGTCGTCCACGCGAAGAAATATCTTCACAAGAACAACAACAACAAGAACAGAAACAACAGAAACAAGAACAAGAGAATGATCCACAGAATTGTATGATGGGCTATGAAAAAATGTCAATGGATACAACCACACCTGAAAGACCATCCAGACCAGCTATATCACTGAGTGCCCCATCTCCGTTCGCAGCGTATGATCCTTTTCTTAATACACCAACTAATCCATTTCGAAAGAGTACTGTAGACACCGATCCATCTGCTGCCTTCTCTCAGAGACAGCAACAGGTTGGAAGGTCATTAAAAATGACATCAGAAGAAGAAGAAAATAATAATAATAATAATAATAATAATAATAATAATAATAATAATAATATGTCAGATAATTCCATTTCTGTAAGTATACAGCAAACAGTAAAGCATGATATCATTGGTGATCATTTCCCCCGTGGACCTGGTGAAGAATGGGATGTACCGCTAGAAGTCTTGTTAGCGTTGTGTCCAATACAGAATCCTGCGGCTTTTACTTCTTCAGCCGCGGATGCAGACAATTTTTTTAGTCCTTCTGCAGTACAGTCGTGGATGAGAAGTGGTGGTGATGTGGTTTCCTCCTCCATCTCTTCATTATCATCCGTTGACGAGGATGATGAAGTGCCTCCCACGCTAACAAACCAAAAAGTCTCCGCATGGAGATATGATGATGTGCTGTTGAGTGATTGATTACAAAGAAGAAAAGAAGTTGTGTCAATACTAGTGAATTCGTTGGGTGAAGGGGTGGGTGATTATATAAATATTTATATATTGTTTGTTTGTTTTTTTCTTCTTTGCTTTCTTTTTATTCCTTGGTATATTTTCTTTTTTTTTATTCTTTTATTGCTGTGAGGGAGAAAGATTGTTTTTTTTTTTCCTTTTTTTTCTCTTTTTCTTTTTGATTGTTGTTGTTGTTTCTTTTCTTTTATGTATTTTATCTCTATACTATAACTTTCTTGTGGTTCTCTTCTCTTTTTTTTTTATCCAAATGCAAGGAATTCTCTTCCTTGGCAAAAACCAATAAAAGAACACTTGAGAGATTTTTGGGGCCTAATGAATAGTCCGTTGCTTAATAAAAACGTTGTGCGACTCCCGCCGCAGTATGATGCTTCCGGCTTTCTACAGACGTGTCCAATCAATGAACAGTATCGAATCCTCGCAGGGATCTGCAGAAGCGAGAGTCAATTTCCATCTCATTGGCAAACAGAAAAGAATAATAATAATAATAATAAGAATATGAATAAAGAGAGTGAAGTTCACGATCAAAGTTGGTTAGAAGAAAAGGATAATAATCCTGCTGTATTTTATGCTGCTCGCTTGGTCGCTTTTACAAGTGAATGTGGATGGCAAAGGTCGCCATTAAATATGTTAAAGGAAGAGATATTAAAGAAACAGCAGCAAGTAGAAAAAGAGAGAGAAGAAGAAGAACAAAAGAAGAAGAAAGAAGAAAAAGAAAAACAAAAGGAAGAAACGAATGAAATGGTTGAACCGGAAGTATATTATAATGAAGAGGAAGGATACTATTATGATGATAATGGATACTATGATGCCGATGGGAATTATTACTACTATGCCACAACGGAAGAAGAAAATCCAGAAAATGCGGTGGGGAACGTAGAAGAGAGTTGTGAAGAAATAAATAAAGAAATAAATGATGAGAATGAAATGGATATTCCCTGGAATAGTGAAGATCCTTTTGAATCTAATATACCACTCGCAGATCCTGATCTCGTTAACACGGCAAGAGAAGAAAGGCCATATAAACGTCTCTTCCCAGATGAAGTGGATTGGATTTCTTCACCTTTTGTTGGTGGTGTCTGTGGACTGCGGCGAGCTGCAGCGCAATTGGAATCTGCAGTTCCATCTGTAGATGTATTCTTACATCAATGCGGTCTTTTAATGATGTCGTCAACAGATATGCATATTGTTTCTCATCCGCATAGGAATGCCATATATATAGATACAGAGGAGTTATCATCTCATGGTATACATGTTCTTGCGAGTAGACGATATCTTCACATTCTATATGTATCTCCAATGAATAATAATAATAATAATAATAATAATAATAATAATAATAAGGAATTGGATCTCATGTCGGCTGTTCTCAACAGTTCACCACAGACTGGTGTGTTAATGTCTATTCCACTCCATCATAGTGAGAGTACATCATCCAATAAGATTGAGATGAAAACATCAAAAGACTTTAATGGTCAATATACCGTTTCTTATGGGAGTTTGGGTAATGGATATGTATTAGTTGAGATTTACACAGCACCTGCAGGCGTAACAAAGGAATCCAATAATGGAATAACACTTTCTATGGTGTTTGGTATTCCCTCAGATGCCCCATTTCGTTCTCTACCACTATCATCTCATCTTGTAAAGAATTATGAACGACGAGTTATGCATCATATGGAAAAGAGTGGTTGTTTAATGGACGAATCACTTATCTCGGAATCTACAGAAAGTACAAACTATAAGAATATTCCCATGGATCCCTCACTTCCTCTCTTTAGTTATTCAGAATTACTTCTTAATGAGATCCACCACCACAATAAGGAGAGCAGTGTGGATGTTCTGAGTAGTTTGGAATATGATGCCGCAAGTAACGCTTTACTTCATTGTATGGAACGTGAGAATGTTGAGCGACAGGCACGAGAAAAGGAAGAAATATTTTATATGAAACACAATATGGAATCTCCTCGTCAACGATTTATACGGGAATCTTTAATGGAAGTAATAGAAACAGAAAGAAAAGCTCGTCAATCATTAGAAGAAGAAGCATTGGTAGTGTATACTTTTAATCCACAAACATCTTTTCATTTTATTGCGGATAGGGTGATACCATTTCTGAATCACTATGATATGAGTGTGAAGAAACTCTATTCAAATGAGTCGTCTCAATGGAATCGAATACTTCAACGGTTTACAGAAATTCATTCTCAGATTCATACAAATGAAAGACGACGACGGGTAAGTGAACAATTTACATTTGAAAGACGAATATTGATATTGCAGTGTTCACTGGATTTGGATATTCTCATACAACAAGAAACCACAGCACGTGCGGTTTTAGAACGTGATGAAGTTATCATGCGATATGAAGGTCATCTCTTTCATTCTTGGATTGATATATTAGCCTGCAGACGATTAGAGGAATTGCAGGAAAGAGAAATAGCAACAACAACAACTAATAATAATAATAATAATAATAATAATAATAATAATAATAATGCCTTAGTTGTGGCTCATAGAGGAGGAGGAGGAGGGAATTGTCTACATCTCAATTCTCTGGTCTGTGCGGTGGGGAAAACACCGATGGGGCACTTTGCCGGTTCATCTCCACAAGAACAGAAACGACGAAACTCCTTATCTTCTTCTATACATTCACCAACAACAGAGGAGTTTATGCGGGTAATGACGGATGGATATCAGACTGCAGCTTCGCCTAACCGTACACATCCTCTACATCGGGTTTGCCTCCCTTTAGTTTAATTCATAAATTAGGTACAGTGAGGGTTGTAGAAAATAAAAAAAAAAGGAAATTTCTATTTTTTTCTTCTTTATTCTTTTCTATTTTCTATTTATTAAAGTGACACCTACTTTTATTTGTTATTCCCACAGTGGATGAAAATCACTTACAATCTGATAGTTGTGTGTGAGATAAATAGAATGTAGGGGGTGGTGAAGTGAAATAAGGAAAAAGAAAGAAAAGATATGAGAAGTGTAATAGTGAAGAATGATATTTTAATTACAATATTCCTCTCTCTCAATATATATATATATTTATTTATTTATTATCGAAATTCTGTCAATAAAAAAAAAAGAACGTTAGTCAGTATTATTGTATTTCACTTCTTCTTGAAGAGTTTTCGTTTTTTTTTTCTATTTTATTTTACCTCTCCGATAACAATTGAGTTGGAGAGGAAGTTTACCTTGCGGTTTCTTTTTTGTAGTTAGATTAAAATGATAGTAGAATAGTTTATATGTTTCTGATTTAATAACTTTAAATGAAAATGTTTATTGTCTCTTTTTTTTTTTATTTTTTCTTTATTTTTTTTCCTTTTTGAACTTTTTATTTGTTGATATCTTTACCTTTAGTTTCCACGGAGACAAGATTAAAAAAAAAAAAAGGAAGGAAAGGAAATAAATAGATAGAGGTGAACGGAGAGAAAAAAAAAATATATATATATATCTTTCCATTAATCCACACATTATTTCAGTTTCTTCTTTTTCCTCCCCGCGTTGAGAGGAGAATAGCATAGAAGAAAAACTTCACCAACAAGAAAATTAGTAATAGTAACAAGAAGAAGAGGAAATAAAAATAAAAAAAAAATGGCAAATGGGGTTACGGCCAATTCCATGCGGGTTAGCGTAAAGGCGCCTGATCTCGGTGCCTTCCCGCTGGACCACTACCGCGAGTGCAAGAGCCAAATTGAGGAGTACTACACGTGTCTGAAGAGAAATGACTACGTGACGCCCATGTGCCGCGATGAGGTGCGGTCGTATCTGCAGTGCCGCATGGACCGCGGGCTGATGAAACCGGCGGACATTGACGGATTCGGAATTCCCGCGACGGAGTTTGTGCCGACGCGGCAGCACCGCATGGATCTCAAGCAGCAGTGGCTGCGGCAGCGGATGAATCAAGTGACGGTAGTGTGGGAGGAGAACTACAAGCGGGATGACTTGCAGGTGCCGGACGGGTATGAGCGGGAGAAGGGGGGGAGTGCAGAGGTGGACATTCAGCAGAAGAATGAAGAGAAAACATAGAAGAAAAAGAAAAAGAAGAGGAGGAGGTGTGTGTGTGTGTGTGTGTGTGTGTGTGTGTAGGTGCTACTGGATTGTTTCTCTCATCTTGTTTTTGCACACATGATATATGAGAGAGTGCTGTACTAAAATGGAAGAAAAAAAAGAAAAGAAGTAAAGATATAAAAAAGGAGAAACAAGGATCCAATATATATGTATGCTTTATGTTTCTTTTTTTGGTAACCATATTTGATTTCTCTTCTTTTGTTTTCTTTTGATGATCCAAAGAGAGGAACTCTCAATCAAGTAGGAAAAGAAGAAGAACAACAATAATAATAATAACGGACAAAAAGGAGAAATAATACACATTGTGTGTGTGTGTGTGTTTGATCGTATTGTTCCTGTTTATTTATTTATTTGAGTTGCAGTATATCTGTTTTCTTTTTTTTTATTATTTTATAATGGCCTCCGAAAAGAAACCAGTTGTACTTGATAACGGAAGTGGATTCATCAAGTGTGGTTATGCAGGTTCCAACTTCCCTGCTGCTGTATTCCAGACCGCCCTTGGTCGCCCTGTTCTTCGCTCAACGAAACGTAATAGCAATCATCATAAAAGCAATAATACTACAGATCCTATGATGCGAGATATTGTTGTTGGGGATGAGTGTAGTGGACTGCGGCATCTTCTTGATATGAGTTTTCCTGTTCGCAACGGTATTATTCAAAACATGGATGAAATGTGTCATTTATGGGATCATGCCTTTCATGATCTTCTACATATCAACACAGAGGAACATCATCTCCTTCTATCGGAAGTTCCACTCTTTAGTAGTAAACACCGCTGTCAATTATATGAGGTAATGTTTGAAAAGTATAATTTCCCCGCTATTCAATCTGCTCTGCAGGGAACTCTATCGCTTTTTTCAAATGGTTTACAAACAGGTGTTGCGGTGGAAAGTGGAGAAGGTATATCCCACTGCACTCCCATCTTTGAAGGCTATGCGTTACCGAAAGCCAATAGACGTGTGGATTTGGGTGGACGTAATATCACAGAGTTTCTTATTCGACTCATGCAGCGACGCGGGTATAGTTTCAATCAAAGTAGTGACTTTGAGACGGTGCGGCGAATGAAAGAAAGTTTCTGCTATGCGGCGGTGGACAATAAATTGGAAAAGCGACTTGCTCTTGAAACAACAGTGCTTGAACAGAACTTTTTATTACCAGATGGATCAAGTTGCAGTATTGGACAAGAACGATTTGAGGCCACAGAGGCACTTTTTCAACCTCATTTAATTGATATTGAGTGTGATGGTCTCTCTACACAACTGTGGAATTGTATTCAGGCGGCGGATATTGATGTTCGGGCAAAACTCTACAGTCATGTGGTGCTCTCTGGCGGCTCTACTATGTTTCCTGGTCTTCCAACGCGTATTGAAAAAGACATGCGGGAGTTTTTTCTCACCAAAGCCCTGAAGGGTGATCACTCACGTCTTGGACACTTTAAACTGCAGATTGAGGATCCACCGCGGCGTAAACATATGGTCTTCCTCGGCGGGGCCACACTGGCGGCGTTAACGGAGGATCAGCCGGAGATGTGGTTTACACGGGCGGAGTGGCAGGAGGGGGGCGCATCGGCCGTGCGGGCCCGCTTTGGGGCGTGAAGTTTACTGTGGGGGGTGGGGAAAGAAGAA